ATATTCCTGCAGATGTCATGTCTCGTATAGCTAGCTGCCTTAACTCTTCCTGCATCAGTTGATTATTCTAAAATAGCTACAGCACAAACATTGGATGATGAAAGTTGAAGTCCTTACTGTCATCAGACACATCCCTGCAGTTAAAAAAATTACTCTCCCGGAATCAAACATTGATCTATTCTGTGATGTATCGACTGGCAGAGTTCGTCCCTATGTCCCAACTCAGTTTCGCCAGGATATTTTTGCTTCATTACACAACATGGCTCACCCTGGTGTACGAAGAACACAACACATTGTGCGGTAACGATTTGTCTGACCTCGAATGTTATCGGATATTAGCTGAATGGACCAAATGTTGCATCCCATATCAAAAAGCTAAAATTCATCGGCATACCAAACCACCTTTGACAAGTTTTAAGGAGCCTTCCCAAAAATTTGACTATGTTCATTTGGACCTTATAGGCCCTCTTCCTCTCTCAAATGGTTATTCTTACTGCTTAACTTTAATTGACCGTTTCTATGGATAGCCAGAAGCTCAACCACTCAAGGATATCTCTACTGAAACTGTTGCAGAAGCATTTTTCACATGCTGGGTCTCCAGGTATGGAGTGCCCTCTACTGTGACAACTGACCAGGGATGCCAGTTTGAAGCTTCACTTTTTTGCTCTCTCACTCATCACCTGGGAATTCAGAGATCCAGGACGACTAGTTACCACCCCCAGTCGAATGGGTTAACAGAAGAATTGCATCGACCTCTTAAGACTGCTATCAAGTGCCATGCCACTGAGCGGTGTTATGTCACTAACTCTCTGTAAGTTAAGATAGCTTTCCTAAAGATCTTCTAAGGAGATCTTTAACAATTCTTACAATTCTTTTACCAGCCTCCTCCCATGCTGCCCTGGGAAGAACTTCCAAAAAATATGACGGAGCCTAATTTAATTAATTTATTTTCCTCCCAATTTTTTTCTTTTAGATAACTTGTAAGCATCTCTAAAATATGTACTGTTGTTACGATACACAATTCTAGGTCGTCCTCATCTTCTATAAAGAGTTTAAATGAAAGCAGGAATCCTTCTGTCAGCAGAGATAAGACTGCCTCCGGATGTACAACTCTGTATCTAAACAAAACAATCCATACTTTAACACCATGCTTTACATATAAAGATTCTACTAAGTATATTCCTACAGTCTCAAACACAGATACATTTTCAACTGGAATGCAATGTAGTCAGATCTGCCATTATAATAATTGAGATTTTTGCATAGGTTACTAAGTTACATTTGAGTTCCAGTACGACATTCTCCCGATGAAAATGCTTGTGAATGCTTGTGAAAATGCTTGTGTCTTCTTGTGAATACGGAATTCTCAGGCACTATGACTTGCAATATAAACTCTGATTTATCAATTCTTTCCATTTTAAAAATTTTTACACAAATAATTCCTTCTTCATCTTTGAATGTACGTGTGTGAAATTTCTCTTTCAGGATGAAAACATTTCTTTTCCACTTCTCATATTATCTTAACCTGAGCATCCTTAATTTCTTGTAATAACCTTTTTTCTGTTCTTATAATGTGATCTGATATTAACCAATCTTGATACAGCCAACTGTAAAAATGCTTTTTCTATATCAGCTGAAGATCCAACGGGATAACTTCAAAAACTATCTGTAACATCAACAATGAGCACTATCAAATTAGGCCCTTTACTTACAAGATTCTTTAAGGAACATTTTCTCTAGCCAGATACATCAAAAACAGATCTAATTCTGGTTGCTGTGACAGGCCAATTAAATAAAAAATTACTCTTTTCAGTACCATCTGCAACCCTTTCAATAACACCCAATTTCTCCTACTCGTGAAATACATGCTTATATTCATCCAAAATTAATTTATCTATTGTGCACTGGCATATTCTCTGGTGATGCTTTCGAAGTTATTCTTCATTAGAAGGCAATTCCCTTATTTCCAATGTAAAAGGCAAGCACAGTTCGTATCTACCGCTTGGTATGACTTTTAGACTATTTTTTAAAATTCTCTAATACCCCAGCATATGACATTTTTCTTTTTAATTACAACACAGTCTAAAATCCCAGCACTTTCTAATGTTTTTAATTTACTAACTGATAAGTTATTCACTTGGAAAGCTATAACATTATAAATCACGCCACCAGTCTTCTCAATTTGAGGAGTAATACATTTTCCTATTGAAATATTTTCTAAGCAAGTATTTAACAAATACAAGCCACTGTTTTAATTTCACAGACTGCTCTGTAAAAATAGTGCCAATAATATTGGTTCTTAGCAATATATTAATTTCTGTCTCTGGCAGTTTCAGATCTGATAAACAAAATTCCTTTTCTTTCAATTCATTCAAAACACTTATCAGTGACATCGGGTACTGTGTTGCCAATTTTTCAATCCAAAAATGTTTTTATTTGAAAAGATTCCTCATTTAAGGAGCAAACTGACAAGTTATAAATACCAAGTTCTGCTTGTTCCATTTCCTTCCTCCAAACAAGCTATGCATTATCTTTAGTTTTCACTCTATCCTGAATTTGTTAATAAAAAATGTTGACATCTAGTATCAAGGATACACGTCAAAGCTACTTCTCTATTATTTGATCTAGCCTTACCATTTAAAGTCATTAACTATACAGTTTCATTTTTACAGTTATTAGTTAAGGCGCTATACTTTCACACACTTTTCTTCTCTTTTAACCCCTTCTGGTTTATTTTTTCGATTATCATGTTTACAGAGAGCACATATAAGAATATTATGATTTTGAAGTTATAATATGAACAAATATTTTTTATTTTACAAAATTTCGCCAAATGACAAATACAGAAGCATATGAAATACACCTTTTTTCTCATCAAAATTTTCCTTTTAGCATTTAAATTCCTACTTCTAGCAGTAAAAAATCTTTAGTAGGATGTATTTTTCACAAAAAAGACAGATGAAATTTTGCTTACTTGAACTGTTATAACAGATGCTTACAAAAGTTGCTGTAGTAGGAGGTTCAACGAGCAGTTTATAAATACAAACTCTTCTTGCGAAACTAAATTAGCACAAAACGTGAACATGCAAGTTCAATCACTTCTTCACCTTTAATATTCTTCTATTTCACTTGTTTTATTTTATACTTCTTTCGCAAGTAATCAGAATTTCTTTGAGCAAACATGATTCTATTAGATGGGTTAAAAATTCGCAATATTTTTCCTGGGTTCTTCTCACACTCTCTAGTACTTGTATTTTTCCTTCTAATCAACATACATTGTCTATGGTTCTGCCTTCAAGCATCTAGAAACAGCTTCTTCACGACCATACTCAACAGATCTTGTACAGAAATTTGAAGAAGTAAATCCTCTTGTCCAAAACGTTCCCAGAATTGACTGATTGCTTTTTGATAATTCATGGCCATAGCTGGAAAGCTTTCCACAATTCTGGCTCCTTTTGAATTTGAGATTACTGCTTGAAGCAAACACTAGAATTTATCCTCTTCAGGAATACTCTTCTCTTCATGGATCCTGGAAAATGAACTCCAGAAGGTCAAATATTCTTTCACTTCATTTCTAAATTTCTTCAGTTCAATCTTCGGTAACTTGAACTTCCTTTTTTCAGAAATTTCTCCAGATGATCAAATAGTTGATATGTTTTCCTTGCTTGATAATTCAATTCTGAAATATTATTCCGAAAGTTTATCACAATAAATTTCAGCACATTCATAATCTTTTTCAAATTCTATTTCATTATCTTTGTTGTTGTGACTAATCTTGCTTGTCAGATATCAGAACAAGGCCATGAAATTCATTGTAGCAAGAAGGCGAGTTAGTGCCTGTCATTTGCAAGAGCCGTTGAGCACCATATAGGTAACAGTATGACTTTGCTCAGTTCTGCCCTCAATTTTGAAGGACAGCACCCCAGGGAAACAGATCTGAGGGTCTTGTGCTATCACCAACCTCTTGAGAGGACTTAAGACTTGCCACATATTTAAAGTGCCATTGTGCCACACAGATGCTATACATTTACAAACATCCACACCTTCGGCAGGATTTGAACCCGGGAGCTTTGGTATGTCAGTCAGCATCGCTAACTGCTACCCCAATTGGGCAGCTTCATTAAATTTAACTTTTAAAATAGCTGTAGACAGCTCATTTTGGCATTCTTCTAAACACGTAAATTAATCTTTTAGCTGAGAATCCAAAAAACAAACTGCTTTCACATTAAGAACTTCTTTAAGTAACCTATCTTCTATTTTGTTCACACTGTAAACATTCAGTGTTTTTTGCTGGATATTCAAATGTGTCACATCCATTATCTCTTATTAATTACTATCACTAGTTACCGAGATCACCCCACTTATTAATGTCAAGATAATTTATGATTCATGTCTCACTATAAAGCTCTGAAAAAGTATCACAATAAATAATATCTACCCCATGCACCTAGGTAATTCCTAAAATGGAGAAATAGTGTGACACATAACAAAACACAGTTTAATTACATGGAAACTTACATTCAATACACACACATTTGGCAAACTACATGTAATTCTAATTGCAAAGAAGCTACATAGCTCTCTGTATTCATAAGAATTCAAATGTATCAGTTCATGACATGACGTCAGTCCTTGACTCAAGCTGATGAGTGATGCAATTTGCAACAGTATTTGTATCATCACCACCACAGGACTTAACAGCAGTTAATGCAGCAGACACGAGACATAATTGATTCTATTAATCACATATGTTAGGATAGAGTTTTAAGAACTGGAGTATGATGCAGTTATCTGACATGTAACAAATGTGAGTATCAAATTTATGTGAATGTTTACAGATACTTGGAGAGTTAACTTTTAATTTACACCTACCTATATGTGTATCATATAAATATACAATTCAGTTTGAGAATTGATGGAAAATTTTCTAAATTGTCTTTAAATTCAAAGGTTTTTAAAAATATTCTTATTTACAGTTTATATACTCTCAAATTACTTACCACATATGACTTAGGACTGGAAGTACTGTTCTTTTGAATTACTGAAATTCGATCACTTTTCTCAGTCTGGCTTACTGACAGTTTGCTAAAAGGTTTATGTAATTGTAATTTTTTCTCATCAGGACTCTCAACAGAATCAACACTTGTTTTCTGCATTTCTGAAGTAACCTTTTTTTCACTTTGCTGAAAAGGAACTGTTGAAACAGGATTCAATTTAATCAGGTCACCACCACCCACAAATGATTCTTCTTGACAAGCTAACTAAAATAGATAAATCAAATCTGGTATTAAGATTTAAATCATAGTGAACAAAAATATAAAATACTATTCACAATACACAACAGAATAGATACAAAACTAATTAACTGCCATATAGACAAAATAATTAAATTAGAACTCTAACTCAGATGCTGAATCCATTTTACATACTATATCAAAGCAATGTCCTATTCTTTCTTCTATTTTGATTTAAAAAAAGAGAACTATATTCTCTTCTTAGAACAACTTTCAGTATCCTTAAGATGAAAATTTTTTAATCTGCTTTTTAATTTGTCTTTTACTCATCAGAGAACATTTAAAGCCAATCCACATCTGTCATCTTTTTTATTCAGTTCTTGTAAATTTTGAAATAACCTTAAATCTGTAATATTCACAATTCAATTATTACTAACAAATTCTAAACTGAAAAAGCTCCATGTACTTTGAATGACAAAACAGTACTGATAAAAAAATGATTTTTAACTTTACCAAGAACCGAGCTTATGCAGAATTTGAATTGTTATGATATTGATGGTTTTATAGTTATGGAAGCAAATTTAACACCCGAGAAACTGAAGTATTTCTTCTTCAAGGTTTATTCTTTATATATTTTACCAAACTCTAGGCAAGTTGCTAGTGGAATTCTTACAGGAATCAAAAACATAACTTCAGACTTCAGAGTTATAAAAGACATGAACCATCCAAGAGATAAAAGTGAAATAATAGTGAAGGTATAAATTTGGATATATGGAAATATAACATCCACTTTAAAATTACTGCTATATATAATACTCTTAATAACAAACCCTATTTCACCTACCTCAATACTTCAACAAAAACTACTTTTATCTGGAACTTCAGTGCCCATTCATCTACCTACATAGAGATACCCAGACACTAAGAGATACCAGACACACTTTTGAATTAATTTATAATTCTTGTGATCTGTGCAATTTTATATACTATATTGTAAAGAAATTTAACCTAAATTTACTGCTTGCTATCATGCCTCTCACCCCATACCAAAAGAAAGACATTGGATGTTGGCAACTACTTGTGGATGCCGTGAATGAGGCATCCACAAGTAATTGCCAATATTAAATTTCCACCCATATATAAAAGCATATATGTTTCAAAAACTTATTGGAATTTCAGAAAAGCCCACTGGAGGAATTTTGAGAAACTAATGGATGTCGTGTTTGATTCCAGCAAAATCGATTTCGGTGCAAAAGTTGAAGCCATTTCCAGATCTATAATAAGGAAGATATTTTTTTTTTTTTTTTTTTTTTTTTTTTTTTTTTTTTTGTGCTAAGAAATGTATTACAAGAGGAAAGGTTAAAGGCTTAAAGGTGCTTCTGGTCTGATAATGGTGAAAGATAAAGAAAATAGGCTAAGAAGGTAAGCGGAATTAACAAAATGCCCATCTGAGTTTCATGCTCAGTGAAAACAAGTTGCTTCGTTTAAGAGGATTGTTCTCTCACAGAAATGAACTACATTTAATAACTTTATTTTTTAGATTTACTTCCAAAAGGATTGGAAAAGAACACATAAATTTCTTGAAAAAAAAATTCCAGATTGTTTCAAAAACCCTTCTTAATGAATGGAAAGTTTCTTACTTTAAGTAAAATAACAGTGAATCCATTTATGCAACACTTTTCTAACAGACAACACAAATCTGATTCCTGTAGAAAGCTGACAAAATTATGTTACAGCAAGTATTAAATTCATTCAAAATCGTTCTTCACAATCGTGTTAAATAAACCGATATCATATCAAGAAGCAAGTCGAAAAATAAGAAATGTATCTTTTCACTTAACAACACGTGCACAACATTACAACGGCATCCATAGCTCGCACACAGAGGAGGAACTTGGTGTTGCCAACATGGTAAATATAAATGTACCAAACTAATACGCTTCCTTACATTTATATTTACTAATTACAAATAAACATAGATATAAGCAACCTTTTCATTTTTACCATTTACAATTAAGCATAGATATAAACAATAACATTCAACACTAACACAAATTATTTAAAAAAAAGGTTTCTTTCATTAACTTAAATGTTAAAATCAAAGTTAAACACAATTTAGTTTACATAAGGACATTACCAAAATCTATTCGTTTCAAGCAAAAATGTTTAAATAAACATCACTTAAATAAATAGTATACAAAATTTATTTCAATTTCAAACCTTCTCTGAATTTCATAAATTTAACCTTTCCTGAAGACTTGGTAAAGATATCTGCAATATTTGATTCTGAATCAACCTTTACAATTTAAATTACTCCATTTTGAACATTTTCGTGTACATAATGATATTGAGCTTCTATGTTTTTTGAATTTTTAGTGAAATTCCCATAATTAGCAATGGCCATAGCTCCTGAATTATCTTCATAAATTTTAATGGGGTGAGTTACATCAGCAAAAACATCATTCACAACATTTTTTTAAGAAATTAACTTCTGTCACAGCCTCAGATATATTCGAGCAAAAGTGGATATTCAGCAACACAGTTTTGCTTTTTGGATTTCCAGTAAATTGGATTACCAAATAATTCAATAACAAACCGAGTAGTTGACTTTCTGTCAACAATCACCTGCCCAATCAGCATCAACATAACAATTCATAATATCAGTTTTAAGATTTTACTATAGGTTAATTTTAGATGTTTTGTTGTACAAATACTTTAAGACACTCAAAGCATATTGAAATGTGTCTCATCATAACAATTTGAAATCTACTTAAATAATTTACACTGAAAGATAGTCTGGTCTATTACCAGACTAATATACAAGAGTGCTCCTATTAGATTTCTATATTTGACATTTTGATTTAAATTACATTGGCTTAGTTTAAGATTAATCTCCATTGGTGTATCATAAAAGCTTTGAATTTTCAATACCATACAGTTTAGCTAAAGATTCAATATAATTTTCCTGACTCAGTGTTAAGATATTACTTTTCTCATTATCATATTCAATATCAATTCCAATGTAGCTTTTTACTTTATTTAAATCCTTCATTTTAAATTTATTATGTAATTGTTCCTTAATATCATTAATTACCTGAGTATCTTTTCAACATATCAACAAATAAAAGAATACATACAAATACATCATTTTCAGATTTTACATAAAGACAATAATCATATTTACTTCTACAAAATCCTAGACTCTCAATATACTCGTTAAAACACTCATACCAATCACTAGGGCTTTCTTTCAACCCATATATAGTGCTTTCTTTAATTTATACACTCTATTCGAATTATCATTATAGCCTTGTGGTTGTTTAACATAACCTTAGACACAACATAACCATTTAAAAGGCAGTCTCAACATCCATTTGATGATATTTAAATTACACTGACAAGAATATGTATGACCAAGTAACAATTTTAAGGTTTGCATCTTAATGACAGGGGAGTGGGAGATATCCTCAATACTATCTTTTTGCTGGAAAACCTCAAACCACTAATCTAGCTTTAAAAACATTACTGGTTTCTTTGAATACCCACTTCAACATCTAGAATTGCTTTATCCTCTGGTTTAGTCACTAGTGTCCAAGTGTTATTTTTAACAAGACTGTTCATTTCACTGTCCATTCCTCTTTCCAATGTCCCCTCACTGCATGTTGTCGCCTCCTCAAAGTTACTTGGACCTGTAGCATCACAAAAATTTGCACTAACACAGTAGTACCCGAATTCTTCATGAAATCGAACTGGTGGTTTGATTTGCCTTCTTGGTCTCATTCCACTTTTTGTTTCATCTTCATTTATCACACTGTCCTTGGAGTTATCATTACTTGATTCATATGACACTTCTTGAGGTTCATTCTTCTTATTTATATCATCATTCTCATCTTCATCATCACAACCTACACAGATTATGTCTTCTTCAATGATGTCAACATGCCTGGCAACTATTATTCTGTTATTCATCAAAACTCTATACCCAATTTCTGTTAAAAATATTTCATATGGTGTCTTCTTTACAACAGGATTTGTTAATGTTCTGTTTTTCAAATAAGCATCAGCTTTAATTACTTCAGGCCAGTAACGTCTGTCAACTTTTGCTTCGGCTAAAAGACATCTTGCCATATCCTTTATAATTCTGTTGTAACGCTCAGCAGTACCATTTAATTCATGTGCACAACATTATAATGGTATCCATAGCTCGCACACAGAGGAGAAACTTGGTGTTTCCAACATGGTAAATATAAATGTACCAAACTAACAAATCGAAACATTCCCTTCCCTGTTTTAGTACTCCAATCCCCATGGATGAACTCTCTGTAGCATTAAGTCATACAAAATCTAATAAATCTCCAGGCGAAGATGCAGTTCATGCTGAATTTCATATGAATTTAAGCATTAAAGCAATCCATACAACTATGAAGGTTTTCAATACTGTTTGGGATACTGCTTGTATCCCTTCAGAATGGTATAAATCAATAATAATCCAAAAAAGGAAAGGAGCATAATGACATAAAGAAATACAGACCAATTTCACTGTATTTTTGAGTATTTTATGCAAAATTTATGGAGAAGATAATTCAAAAAAGGCTAAACTGGTATGTCAAGAATTTTAAATTTGGCAAATAACAGGCTGGTTTCAGACAATACAGGTCAACTAGCCACCACATTACATTACTTAGCAAAACAATAAAGGATGCACTAGAAAAAAACGTATACCTTTTCTGCAATTTTTATTGACCTGAGATATGCTTATGAATTAGTTTGGATGGATATTCTATTCTTGAAGCTTTCAAATACTGGAGTTCACTCAAACATGTTTCATTGGTTCAAGAGTTCTCTTAGCCAGTGAATTTGTAAAGTTCATTATGAAAACTGTTTTTCACAATATAAAGTTCTTAGGACTGGCCTCCCACAGGGAGCTGTTGCCAATTTCCTTCTGTTTAACAGCCCACCAGCGGCCGAGCGGTAAAGTCGCTGAACACTGGTAGTTCGGTCCGAGGTTCGAATCCCGCGAACGGGCT